CTTGCTCGCGGCATCCGCGAGGCAGCCAAAGCCTTGGACAAGTAAGTGGTGTTTCACCAGTTTGTGGTGAGTAGCAGAACTGGGTTGAGATGCATTGTGGTGAGGTGTGCTGAACATACACAGTGGTCACTTTTTTCAGGTGTTCACTTGAAAACCTTTGTAAGACCATAGTTGTCTGCCATTTAGTTTTGTCTTTTAATAGTTTCTGGTTTTGGGGTCTGTGATCTTAAAATACAGATGGTAAACTCAATGGTGCAAGAATAGCAGCATCTAGTGTTTTAAGTTCTGTCTTTTGTGACCCCAGTGCCATTGAGGGTTTGTGTGGGTGCATGAGTTTTGTGAAGAAAATGGAATGGAGCTTGCAGCATGTGGCTGTGGTAATCTGGAGCTCAAGAACTAGAGTTTTAAGAAGTGATACTCAAAGTGTCCTAAGATTTTAATCAAGTTAATGTGTGTCAGCCTTAAACGGGAATAATTGGTTTAGTTTTTACTCTTTTTTGTGTTGCAACTGTAAATAATTGCTGCAATATCAAACCAATGTTAAACTTGTCTTGTATATGCCAACCATCGTAATTAGTTACATCTTTAGTAGGGTGAAGTACTATATATATATGCATATACATACACACGTGTGTGTTTATATGCAGAAGGATACTGGTAAGAAGAGACAGTGCTTCAGTGCAACGCTACAGTGTTTGGGTGATGACTCAAAAGTTTGTCGGAACCCCCTTCACTCCTTCTATGAGTGAGAACTGCTGTCTGACAAACCTGTATGCGAAAACTTGTAAGACAAGGCACTGAATCAGTGGAAGAGAAGTACACCTTAGGTGACTGACAGCTAGTTTGTAAGAGTGAGTTCAGTTACAGCTTCATATGCTGTATTAAAAGGATGATGCATGTACAGGATTTACATATGCTTGGGTGCAATGGTTCTTGATTTGAAATGTTTCTGATGTTCTGTTGGCACTCCTGATGAAGGTCACAAAGAAAACTGACTTTGTTTGCAGAGGTCATCTTGCACTAGGTTAAGCATAGAAGACCTACTCAGCTCTCTTTGTTGTCAGGTGTCCATTTGGTATTCTTAACATTGTACCACAGTATACAAAGATCCTAATTAGAATTGGGGCCCTGTCATAACAGCTTCTTTGAACGTAAGTAAATTGTTCTGAAGAGCTTGTAACACATTGACATGGAAATTCAAGCTTTTTAGTAATTACAGTTCTAATATTGAATTACTGTAATCTGTGGTAAATGAGAAAAATCAACTTGTAACTTCGTTGCTTTCTAACAATGACACCAGTTCTTTATGGGACCTGGTGTTTATCCAGTTATTTGACCTTTTTCCAGTGGCTGAGAATTGATTTAGTAGGGTTTCTAGAAGCTTTTAAAACTGGAATAGAATCTGATAATAAAGCTAACAATGTATGAATAGACTGTTACATGTATGAAAACCATAAAAAGTGATACATCATATCAAAAGTATGTTTAGTATTTCAAAAGCATATGGTGTCTCAAAACCCAAAATTAAACTTAGGGAGTGGTTCTCTAGAAATGCATGTGCTGAATTTTGTCCTTTGTGGCTTTAATTGTAAAGAAATATTAAGTAGTATCTAAAGTTACATTTGTCAGTTTTCATTTTTTTTAGACGCCAAGCCCATCTCTGTGTTCTGGCTTCAAACTGTGATGAACCCACTTATGTAAAACTAGTTGAAGCACTCTGTGCAGAACATCAGATCAACTTGATAAAGGTGAGCATCAACTTAAGACAGGTTTGGAACAGTTACACTGCTTGTTTAAGCATAGAGAGCTGAACCCCTTAAACACTGTTGCAATTGTATGTATGGCTTGTCTAAGCAAAATTTCTCTGAGCAGCAGATGGTTGTAGCTCCCTGTAATTGTCATAGAAGCAATACAAAAACTGCGGATGTAAATGGCAAAGGATGTGGATCAGGTATTTTGCAGAGCTAGAGCGAATTCTGTGTCCTATATAATAAGAAAGGTATTGCTGCAGGTGGTTGTGGAGCACAGGAGTGTGTCACTGTGACTCCAGTCCCCATACAGAGCTGTACGATGATGATAATTTGGCTCCCTCTACTGATGCCTGTGAGGAAAGCAGCCATCCGTTACCCAATGCTTCTGACAGTACAGCAGCTTTGGGGCTGAACACAGTCACCTCGGCAATGGCAGGTTCTAATGTGCTGCAATGTCTTGCACAGGTTGACGACAACAAGAAGCTGGGCGAGTGGGTAGGTCTCTGCAAGATCGACAGAGAAGGAAAACCTCGCAAAGTAGTGGGCTGCAGTTGTGTGGTTGTCAAAGTAAGACATTGGTTACAGCTTGTTTCTTGACTTTTGAAAATAAGCAGTAAACAAAAGGTTTCTTTAGATAAGGAAATGTTAAATAGAGCTCTTGGATTTATTTTTCTGAAACAGTCACTTCGTATTGATAGCAAAAGTAAGCTGCTTCCCCGTTTTTATGTTCCCTTTTATGTTTATTTAAAATACTCATACACATTTTGAGTTAATAGTTATATCTTTAAACTGTCTACGCCCAACTTGGCAGTAAGCACTAAAAGGAAAGACCTAGCTAGACATTTTGCTTCAGGAAAAAATGCCAGTTCAGTGTGTCTGCTCAACTTGTAAATGTTTTGCAGAGCATATTTTAAAATGACACTGGTAAAGTAAAGCCACAGTACGAGCCTTGAAGACTTTGTGGTCTCTGAGGTCCCAAGAGATGGCTACACTTTCACAATAAAGACTTAGTGCCTTGTACATATGTTTTCATACTTTTGCTGCTGTTTCACATGCTTTACTTGGCTTTCTTTAAGCAGAAAAGATACTGGATCCCTATCAATGGGTGTTAATTTGAATGAACTAGAATAGTCCTTTATTGGAATAGTCTTTTATTAGAGAACAAAGGAAAAGCAGCTGGCAGATTGCTTGAGATTACTTGTGTGGAATTTTGGGAGTGCCTTGGGAAAAAGTCAGAATCCCTGTTCTCTAAAAAATTGATTGTGAAATTTTGAATGGGTCTGTATGTTATTAATGGATTATCTTGTGTTACAGGACTATGGCAAGGAATCTCAGGCCAAAGATGTCATCGAAGAGTACTTCAAGTGCAAGAAATGAATCAAAAATAAAGTTTGAACCTGACTAGTGTATGCGTGGTTAATGATTGGGTGTCTGGAATAGTTCTTTGGGTTGCAAAGAATAACATCAGGAGACGGAAGGACTTTGCGAGTGTTGGTTTAGTTTATTAGTACGTTAACTCTGTCAGTTTGCTAAAATACTCGTAGTGATCCCTGCCATTCCTATTCTAGGGTGCTTTTGTTTCCTCTTCCTCAGAGTTTACCATCTTGGGGGAAACTTTATACAGCTGCAGTTGCAAAAGTGCAGACAGTCGATTACTGTCTGTGCTTGGAAGTGCTTATGGGTATTTGCAGGGATTCTGAGTAACTTGTTAGGGAAAGTCCTGAAGTATTGTGGCATCTGTGATGAAAATTTGGCTCCCTCTGCTGAAGCAAATGAGGAGAATGGCCTTATCCGTTACCCAAGTTTTCTGAGATGTTGCAGGAATTTTTCAGGGAACTTGACGCTAGGTGTGTTTTACTGGTTCCTCTGCCTCAAAATTGAAGCCAACTGTGGATGTTAGCATCTTACAAAGAGTATTGTCACATACTTCTAGACGTGATTCTGTAGTTCTTGGTAGGCAACATAGCCAAGTAGTTGAGTTCTCACTTGGTCAAACAAGGCAGTCTTGAACTCTGCCTTGCCCAGTGTCTTGGTTTCTGTATTAGTTACATGCTGTACTGAAGAGTTTTCTGTGTGTTTGCAAACAAGGTGGGATTCAAACTGGAATTTAAGGTTACTTTAATCTGCAAGTTGTTTTATAGGTCTTGCATTTTCTGCAGGGTGGAATCATGAGGAATTGCTCCATTGTTCTGATACATAAGACATGAATGTGAGTATGTGGGGCTGGACATGTGTAGGCTGAGGAGATGGGAATGGTTTATCTGTTCTCAGGAGCTTCAGCTTGAATTTTCATTATGGTTTGTAACCCCTCTTCTGATACCCTTGCTGTTTGTGTAGATTGGAGGCAGGCATCTTCAGGTACTGGGCTCAGCTGCACTCTCTTACAGCTCTCATTAAAGCTCTTGAAGTCTTAGTTTTGGCCCTGTCACAGCTTTATTGTAGCTAAATCTGGGTGACTTGGAGTGTGGGAGAGATTTCAGTAGTACTACAAACATTTTTAGGTGTACATGGAGTTACCTGTTCCAAGTCTGCTTAACAGCAAGGTCTGTATCCTTTGCTAAACTTATGTATATTCAGTCTCCTGTGAAATTCTCCATGAAAGAGTTAAGGTAGTTTTTAAACAGTTAAAGCCAAGCTAGTATTGCAATTTGTGGGAAGGTAGCATGTACAAATGTTCGCATTTTCCACTCGGATGTTTGAACATGTAGATAGGAGTCTTAGTGCAGATCTCATTTCATTAGATTACTGGAGATTTCTGCATGCTGAGAATAGGGATAATTTACAGAATATTTCTTGGATGGAGTTGAAAGTCACTTAAATATTGAAAAACTTAGTTCAGTTTGGCTAGCAATTTGGCGTATATGGCTTGTGTACAGAAGGACACCAAAACATGCTGCTTTTGGCCTAAGACGGCAAATCTCCCAAGACTTTTGAATAACATTGTTCAGCAATTTGATCTTCATATTTTTTATGATGTTTGTGGCTTCACTCTAGAGAAGGAATTGTCTGAAATCGTGGTGCAGTCTAATGGGGTTTATAGTTTGCTTTTTCTTGCCTGGCTGTTTTATCAGGGTTAAATTCACAAAGGGAATTGCATATGCCTCTGTATTAGAGCATTTTTTACCTGTTGGCAGTAGTCTTAATTCCTTACATCTCTGCATGTAATGTAACAAAAGCGCAGGTCAATAAAAGCCTCTCCAGGATAGTGGGTAAAGATTTTTATGAAAAGGTGAAATCCACAGACGTATTCTCAAATTTGAGGAAGTATTTGCTAACTACCTGAAAGGAGGTTGTAAGGAGGTCTTGGGGGTCTTTTCTCCAAGTAACAAGTGACAGGATGAGAGAAAATTGTCAGGTATTGGAACATCTGCCCAGGGAAGCAGGGAAACCACCATCCCTGGAGGCATTTAAAAGACACATAGATGTGGCACCTGGGGACATGGTTTAGTGATGGAATTGATAGTGTTAGGTTTGCAGCTGGGCTCCATGATCTTTTCCAACATAAATTATTCCATGATTGAATTGCATGCCTGTTAAACCTGCAAGCAAGTGGGGAAGAGTCCAGCATGCTCCCTTCAGCCTTACAAAATACTCATGTAACACATCTTAACTTCTGGTGTGATAAAAATAACATCTTTATCCAAATTGTTTTTGTTTGATTTATATAATGGATTTATACTATTGGATGTGCAGTTCTAGCAGTAGCTGAGTTGACATTTCCTCTGAATTACAATGAAATATGACCAGTTAACCCTTAGGAAAAAGGGGTTCAAGTAAGGAGAGCTGTAGTTTATGAGCAAGTTAGTGTTTCTTTTGCTGTAGTAGAATGATAGCTCAATAACATTTCAGCAATGTTTCTTCAGGGTTTTTTAATGCCACCATTTTACATAGCAATGAATATTAATAGTAGGGAATGCCAGGGTTTTTTCATTAGAATAGAATCAACACTTCCTAATTTTTTTATTTTGCCAGAAGGAACTGGGTTCAGATCTAAAATTCTGATCAAAATTCTGTTGCTATCATGTTGGGGTTTTTCTGTAATGCTTCATTTTCTGCAAGTGACCTTAGAATGATAGTGATGCAGAGTCAGCATCAGAGAACTGATTATGACTCAAGTTTGCTTTATACTTAAGACTATACCTAGTGTTTGATTTATTTTCAAAAGTTTCCTGTGACCGAAATTCCACCCAAGCTTTCTGCTTCACCTTAATATTTAGTGAAAGTTAATTTATTGGGATTCTTATTCAAAGTGGCTGAAGAAACCAAGTGATTGCTAATCCTTTATACTGGATGACTTAGTATATGTTTCTCTGAGGCCTGTGCTTTGTAGGCTAAAGAGACCCAATTTCTTCACCCTTTCTTCATTGATGGCATTTTTATTTTGCTGTAGAAGATGTATTGATACTGATATGTCCTGCAGGATTTACAGGTATGGTTTTGAGGAGTGAGTAGGCTTTGGATTACACTTGAAATTACAGCCATCTGTAGTCATCACCATAAAAGTGCCCATTACCTGTCCCCTGGAAGGGATCTGCTTAGACAGCATTAAAATGGGACTGGAAATCAGGCTTCGGAGTTGCAGAGTGCCAGGACTGACACCGACTTTTCCTCAGTTGCTGGTCATATTTAATGTCACTTGCAGGATTTCCTTGTGAAACAGGGATAATAGAGAATGGTTTGTTAAATGACACAGGTTTTGTGGCTTTTGGTTGGCAAAAGAAGCAGAATTAATTTTTCCTGGACTAAAATACCAGACTTTGGTGGTTTTGCATGGAATGGTAGCTGCTTTCAGGCCTACATTACTCATTCATCTAATGTGAAGTAGAAAGCTATTGAAGTGCCTTGAAGAAATGTTGGTGAGTCATTGTCAAGGTGTCAAGTATAGATTTCTAGAGAGCATTGGAAGAACATACTGTGTGATATTTCAAATAAAGAAATCTTGCAAACAGTTGTGCTTGTTGTATTTTGGAGCCGCCTGTCTGTCATCCTCTGACTGGTACTGGTTTTCTGTCTCTTGCATTTTGGCATACATTGGAAAAGCTTGAGCATCTGAACAGCAGCAGCACCACCACATTTCCTCAGTTCCTACTTGGAGTTGTGGCCCTGACTGACTTCTGTAGGGGAGTTGATTAGACCTGCCCTCCACCCTTTCTCGTGATAGTGCGTGTTTTACTGTTTGGATCCCTTGGAGACTGGGATAATAGCATAGGTACTCCATGCTACATCTGGTTAAGAAGGGAATATGTGTGCTTGTCATGTGTAATGGGAGCCTGAGTGCTCACTTAAAGGTAACTTCTTAGGACAGCTCATTCACATCAGGGTCCCATTGTAATGTTTTGCAGTAACACAAACGCCAGGGGATCAGGGCTTGTCAGCAAACCACACTGCACAAGTCCTGTGAGCTCCAGCCATTCATTTGGAGAGCCTAAATAGATAAATCTGCCTGCTTCAGCATGAGAAGTGTAAATCTTCTAGTCTTATTTAATACCCAAGTATTTTATGGAGGGTAAAAACTAATTCCACATGAAGAAAAACTATAATATTAAACTGCACAGTATCCTGTGACAAGCATAAACACCAGTATTTTCTGACTAATGTTTCTGGCTTACAATTACCTCTACCTGCCTGGTGTTTTGTTCCTTGTTTGTTCTGCAAAACCCGCATAACCCAGCTGTGAGCTGTGTGTCCATGTTACTGAAGCTGGTGCAAACATGGTCTCTGAAACGTGCTTCCTTTCCTAGAGACCTCTTGAGTGTCTCATCTGGTGATGTTAAGGAGCTCTGAACGTGCATCTGTTTGTCAGCCTTGTCTTTTTTGGGTATGATGTGTGTGGTGTGAAGGGTGTGAAGCCTCGATACGATTTTTTTTTATTTTCATTAGGCCATTGAACCAGGTACTGGATGTTAGGTGAGCACAGGTTTGACTTGGTACTTTTTTAGCCTTAAGGAAGACGAAAGTAATGGGACAAATTATTTTTTCAATGGTTTTTATACAGTTAAGTAAATATATAGACTTTGTCAGCCATTGGTCAGCAAGCAAATGCTTACTTTGAGTGTCCCTACTAAGTTTAGCCGAGGGAGTGGTCAATGTGCTGTTGCATATAATGATCCCACACGCATAATTGATGTATTGGCATTATTTCTGAATGAAAGTCTACGTACAAAAAGCCCTAAATGCACATCAACTACTTAATGCACTGATCTGTTCTAAATGATATATTTTATGGAAGTAAATCACTATATAAATATCAGAACTTTGAGCTGTTTGTTGCCATCCTTCCTCTTTGTTCTGAAAGTGTCTGGGTCATGTTATATGAACTAATGGAAACTAATTTGAAAATCACTTTTTGTCTTAAGGACAATTCAGAATCAATGGGGGCAACTTTTTATAGTACTTAGGCA